GCCGCCTTTCGTGCCAGATCATGAGATGACGAGTGGCTAACTGAAAGTGCCTGGCACCACGATTCTCTTCGCCAACAGCGCCAGTGCACAGAAGACCACCCGGCAAGCATTACCGACAACAAGCGAGGCAAAAACAGACCATCAACAACGTCGCTATTAAACCAATCAATGATTTCCTGCCGGCATTGATTGGAACCTAACATCCGCGCGTCAAACAAAATGAACAAAAACCAGCAACAATCCCAACCCAGAAGACCCTAAACCCAAGAAACCACCCTTAAACCCCCTAAACCCCCAATCCCCTGAACCCCAAACCCCTCAACCCCAAATCCTAAACCGTAAACCGCAACCCTAAACCCTAAAAGTCCTACCCTAATTAATCCCCAAACCCTTGCTTGGAGTGACCGTGCGACCGGCATCCCCATCCCCACCCCTGCCCGTGCCTCGAGGTAGCTGGGCAGAATCCTGGGCTTAGGGTGTAGGGTTGAAGGGTCTTGGGTTTGGGGCTTCAGGCTGAGAATTCAGGGCTTAGGGCTTATAGGAACGGAGGATCCTGGTCCGAAAGGCTTGGGGTGCTGCGGAATCCCAGATGGCCAGAAACGGTGGGGTCCCCACCATGCGGCGTCCAAGGGTTTAGGGTTTAAGGGTTTAAAGGTTCAGGGTTTAAGGTTACCCCCTCCTTCCACACTTCCTTGTGACAAGCAAGCTGTTGGGACTTTGGGGTGTCTTGGAGTCTAAACCACGTTGCACGTTGCGTTGTGACACCAATATGTCTGTGCTATACCAATAGTTGAAATTGATCTCCTGACGAGGAGCCAGAGCTCTTTACATATGCTTGGCATCTTGATGGCTCTAACTACATGTACTAGTTCAGGGCTTGGGGCTTTTCGGTTCAAGCTTCAGGGCTTCGGGCCAACGCTGCCATGCTGCACAATCAAATCCGCGATTCGGCCTGCTCTCGGGACAGGTAACAGGTCCTCGGCCGCAGAGCTAGCAGAAGGTGGACACAACAAAAAGTAGGATACCTGAACCCTTATCCATCCTTATCCACACTTAGCCTTGTCTTGCAACCCTGAAAACCCTAAACCGCCTCCCGACACCCCGCCCCAAACTCGTGCTTCTTGACAATGGCTGTCTGGGTTACTGAAGCGGTTACAACTCCCCCAGCAATATCCAGCAATCAGCCTGACAGGAGCGCGTAGCTATCAAGAGGGGGTGCTAAAGGATACTCCAAGGAGGAGACACAGGGTTTACGGTTTAGGGTTTATTAGGGTTTAAGGGAGGTCCAGGCTGCATGCCTCTAGACCTGCTGTCAATGATGCTGCCAATCAAGTAATTCATGCTAATTCCCCGTGCCTCGTGTTAGAACTGGATCTCTCCCGGGGTGCTTTCAATATGGAGAGTACGAGCAGTCATAACTACATAAGTTGTGCGGGCAGAACTAATTAATTCATGAGAGCGGTGACAACTATCACGACACTGAAGCGCGGTGAATGTACCTGGAACAGTCCAGAGCCGCAATTTAAGTACAAACACATCAGCAAGAGGAGCAATGAAGACAAAAATATGCCACGAAGATATGGCACAACCGAGATGATGCAACATCATGATTGGCGGCTAGGCAGAGTTGGACAACAAAGCTCTGCAACGAGCACGGGTTGCACCGGGTTGCGCACAGAGAGACGGCAAGAAGACAAACACGAAGCAAGGTATCCTAAACCCTGAACACTAAACCCACCTCCCACTAGTGCTAGCGCTCGCGCTTCGTGGGCTTTAGGCAACTTTAGGCCCTTGGGGTGTGTATTCCCCTCGCTTGAAGTAGGCTGGGCCTGAGTGGAAATCTGTGAACAACCTCTCTTCTCTCTGTCAAACACAGTCGCCTTATTTTGGAACTTGTCCGATTCGCATTTTTACAAGAACATGCTCAGGCGCTCTATATGGGGATGAAAATTGGTCAACGAGCGCAGGCCGCATGGCAGAATGACGTTGTCCAACCTCTGCTTGAAACTGTTACCAAAGCTCATTGACTGCAAGCCGCCGGGCAGCGTGACGTTGTCCAAGCTTTGGTTGAACGACCAGCCAAAGATCAACGACTGCAGGCCATCTGGCAGCGTGACGTCGTCCAGCCTTTGGTTGAAGTACCAGCCGAAAGTCAATGCCTGCAGGCCGCCGGGCAGCTTGACGTTGTCCATGCTCTGGTTGAAATCGTGGCCAAAGGTTAATGACTGCAGGCCGCCGGGCAGCGTGACATTGTCCAAGCCTTGATTGAAGTTGTAGCCAAAGGTCAGTGACTTCAGGCTGCCGGGCAGCGCGACGTTGTCCAAGCTTTGGTTGAAGTTATGGCCAAAAGTCAATGACTGCAGGCCACCTGGCAGCGTGATGTTATCCAAGCTTTGGTTGAACTCATGGCTAAAGGTCAAAGACTGCAGTGTTCCTGGCAGCGTGACGTTGTCCAAGCTCTGGTTGAACGAACTGCCAAACGTCAATGACTGCAGGCCGCTTGGCAGTGTGACGTTGTCCAACCTCTGCTTGAAACCGTCGCCAAAGGTCAATGACTGCAGGCCATGTGGCAGTGTGATGTTGTCCAAGCTCTGATTGAAATAGTGTCCTAAGCTCAATGACTGCAGGCTGCCTGGCAGCACGACATTGTCCAAGCTCTGGCTGAACTTGTGGCCAAACGTCAATGACTTCAGGGCACCGGGCAGCGTTACGTTGTCCAAGCTCTGGTTGAACGAACTGCCAAACGTCAATGACTTCAGGCCGCTTGGCAGTGTGACTTTGTCCAAGCCCTGATTGAAATTGTAGCCAAAGGTCAATGACAGCAAGCTGCCTGGCAGCGTGACGTTTTCCAAGCTTTGGTCGAAGTTATGGCCAAAGGTCAATGACTGCAGGCCACGAGGGAGCGTGACCTGGTCCAAGCTCTGATTGAAGTGGTGGCCAAACGTTAATGATTGCAGGCCGCCGGGCAGCATCACGTTGTCCAAGCTTTGGTGTGAACTCCAGCCGAAGAAGCTCGGGCGCTCATTGCCAAGCGTCAACGACTCTAGGCTGCCTGGCAGCATGACGTTGTCCAAGCTCTGGCTGAAGTTATGGCCAAAAGTCAATGACTGCATGCCATCTGGCAGCGTGACTTTGTCCAACCTCTGGTTGAACGAACTGCCAAACGTCAATGACTTCAGGCCGCTTGGCAGCGTGACGTTGTCCAACCTCTGCTTGAACTCGTCGCCAAAGGTCAATGATTGCAGGCCATGTGGCAGCGTGACTTTGTCCAAGCTTTGGTTGAAGTTATGGCCAAAAGTCAATGACTGCAGGCCCCCGGGCAGCGTCACATTGTCCAAGCTTTGGTTGAAAACGTGACCAAAACTCAGTGTCCTCAGGGCGCCTGGCAGCTTGACGTTGGCCAATCGCACGTTGAACTTATGGCCAAGGGTCAATGACTGCAGGCCGACAGGCAGCATGACGTTGTCCAAGCTCTTGTCGAAGTTTAAGCCAAAAGTCAATGACTGCAGGCCATCTGGCAGCGTGACGCTGTCCAACCTTCGGTCGAAGGTCATGCCGAAGGTCAATGACTGCAGGCCGCACGGGAGCGTGACGTCGTCCAAGCTTCGGTTGAATTCAGCCCCAAGTTCTAAGGAAGAGATGGCGGTCATGGCGAACCTGTCTGTTACACACAAGTCACCTCCTGTCAGCGCACGCAGCAAACTCACAGTCACTTGAGCTGCGCTAACTCGACGCAGAACGCACATGATATTGTGGTCTGCAACTTGCTGTAACAAGGACACTTACTTGCTCGTCCAGAACACGCCCGCCGGACACCAGGTTGAGCATGCTTCCCACTGGTACTACAACATGCTCGCCAGACACCAGCTTGAGCGGACTGGCCGCTGGTACCGAGATGGCCTCAATCGCATCCAGCACGGTTGCAGCACTGTCGACTTCAAGCACTCTTGTTGAGCCATCCATCCCGGTGATGCTCAAACATGCGTTTCCGCCGACAGCATCAATGTATCCCCTGGTGCATTCCTCCATAGCTCAGGCCAAAACAAGGAACACAAACCCTAGTCTTAGTTTTTTTGGTGGGGGCGTGCGGGGGGCAAAACCCTAACCTAAACCCTGGACCCTTTTGTAAACTTAAGGCTTCAGGAGATACATCTGTGAGTGGGAACCATCATTACACACCTCCCATGGCTGCGCAACCCTGAACGCGGCACATCGGTACAATCGCAGATGTCGACCATGAACTCCCGTTGTCCACGAAGCTACTCCTCTCGTAAGACTCACAGCCTGGCTGTTTCCAGAAAGTGATGTACGTCAGGGACGTGTCTGCAGTGCACACGGCCTCAGTTTCACAGGCCCACAAAACCTTATGCTACGAGTATACCGTCATTGCCATCTACATGATTTGTGGAACTCCTGCTGTCGCTCATGAGACCACCAGTAACAAAAGAACTCATGTAAACTTACATGTCTGCGCGATGCCGTGACTGTGCATGACCCTAAACCTGAAGCCCTATAGGGTTTAGGCGGTTGCGGAACGAAAAACCCTAAACGCTAATTTAGGGTTGCGGGTTAAGGGCCCCTAAAGATGGTTATAGGCCATGCCATGGAGGTTTGGGGCTTTGGACCTCAAGCTGATCTGTGCCACAGGAGCCCATCGCAGCAGCAGCTCTACGGGAAAAAGGACCGTGAAGAAACACTCGATCGCCTCATCTGGGTTTGGGTTTAGGGTTTAGGTTTTAGGGTGCAGGGTTCTGGGTGCCCGGGTGTAGTATTGAAATTTTGACTTTTCACAGACCCTAAACCCTAAACCCAAATCTTGAGCTCAGGGTGTAGGGCTGGAAGTTTCGAGGTTTCTCGCAGATTGTTTGGACAATTGAAGACGCATCCTCCAACGCGGCACGAATCGTAAACCCTAATTCTTGACACCTCGCTTGTGGCTTAAGCCTTAAGCCTCCCACAAAACGTCACGCCTTCGGAAACGAAGTTTAGGGCTTGGCCCTCAACTCTCGGAATTTTTCCCACCCGCTTCGCTGACTAGGTCGCACTGCACTTCAAACCCAAGCCCAAGGACTACAAAACTCGGCAAGTCCCGGGATCACTGCACTCTCGGTTACGACACCAACCGCGTAGGCTACAGAGGCCAAGATTACAGCGCGCAGGACTCGCAGGAAACAAACTGCTTGGCGACCCTCCAGACTACCCCGAACAGGTGGTTTAGGGTTCGACTCTCACACTCGCACACAGCAGGCAAGGCTCCTCACGGTTCGGTCTCCACAACTAGGCCAAGCGAAAGACAGCGGTCAGAGGCATTACTCTGACTCCTATTTCAAAAGACACATGCACTCCACGACTCTCTCACTGCAACCATGCGCATGCTCATACCAGCAATCACGTATCGACCACAGGCTCATCAGCAACTTCACACTCACCCACAAAATGCCCACATCTTGCACTGCCCCTGTGAAGTCGCGCCCATGCAAGGAATTCTCAAACGTTCCAGTTTGTCACTCCACATTCGATGCAAAGCTGTTGCACTCCATAAATTCCGCACCAAATTCACCAGATCCAAGTGCGAGCTGTCGCATGCAGTAGCATTCATGTACCAAATTCAGAAGAAGCATGAATTCAAGTATCATCCACAATGTGCCTCAACGTGAGTTTCAGGCAGTTTAGCTCGTTGATATCCGGAGTTCTTGCAGTCTTCCGCAGATCTGGCATGAAGCTTTACGAGCTTAGGTTTAGGTTTGGGGATACCCTAAACCCTAGGCAGTCCTCAGCCCTGAAGTCGGAATCTGATCTGGGGTCTGCTGCTGAGGTGAACGACGAGAGCTTGGATGCCGACACTAGACATCTGGCTCGGGCGCCTGGATTTCTAGCCTTTGGGCCTAGTTCGACGGTTTGGCTCAAAGTTGCATGGTTGCAAAGTTGTAGGCTCAAGCAGGTCGAACCAACTCTAAACTAGGCGTCGGAAGCCATGCTGCAATGTGCCCCAAAAACCCTACTATTCTTATTGTTCAGGCCCCTATATTAGCTAAATCGACTGACCGGCGCCTTGGCAGAAAGCAGGGCGACTCGGGGTGCTGAGGCAGAATGTAACATGGGGAGCCTAGATAATCAGAATTTGGATTCGGGTATAATATTATGCCATAAGCCATAAGCATATTAAGGAACCACCAGGAATAATCATGTAGGAATTGCAGGGGTATATTGTACCATAATCATATTTCGGAGCCCCGAGGACCTTTCGTCGTCTGGGTGGGTGGGTGTTATATCAAACCGTAAATACAACTTTACTATAATACTGCTGAACCATAAACCCTAACCTCCAATTCACTTAAAGCCTTGCAAATCCTGGCAAACTCTTCGCGGGCCGGCGGTTCTGCTCCCGGCCTCGCGGGCCCAAAGCCAGCTGCAGACCGAAACTGAAGCCAACTGCGAAACTTCCGAACTTTTCAACCTCGAAACTTTTAAACTTGCAACGTCTGAAACTCTCTCTCTCTCTCACACGGACTCGAATCGATCATGCCGCGAAGAAGCAACGTCTGAAACTCTCAAACATTGAAACCGTAAACCTAAACCCTCTGAACGAGAGGGCGAGGTAGGGAGGGTTCGCACCTTTGTCAGGCCAGCAAAGCCTACAAGATGGCGACATTGGCTCTGGCTCTCAAAGCCTCACCTGCCCACCCGGAATCCGGACCTGCAGCCCCATCGAAGCGCGCCTGATTCGACTCGCCCGCCTGTGATTCTAGAGGTGGGTCTTATTGTTCCTAAACGGACAGAGCTGACCTGAAAAGATTGACGATTCACGGCTTGAGAATAAGGTCTCGAGGTGGCGCTGTAGTCGTAGTCGTAGTCATAGT